TCATGGAGGGCGTGATCCATTTGCAGAAGCAAGTTGGCACCGTTGATCTGCCAGGGGCTGTTGGCATTCGACAAGCGAGTGTGAAAGCTTTGGAAGCTTTCTGCACTACTGGTTCACCTCCAAGCTACGGTGGATTATTGCCAGGAGCCGGACAGGCGGCAACATTCCATGAAAGTTCTTTCCGGAGCATTGTGCCCAGAATTGAAGCAATGGCCGCCGACGCGGCTGCTGACGAGCAACTTGCCCTACGAGAGATGGCTTCCATCGGCGGCCCGAGCCCAGTGGAACTGAAGGATACCTTGATTCAGACCCTTCCTTCCTTAAAGGCAGGTCTTTTTTTGGGTAAGTGGTTCCACAACAGCTAGAAGCAGATTTGCTATTTAAGGACTCGGCTCGTCTTGAATTTTTCAATTCTTGCGCAGGTGTTGGCCAAAGACCGTGCGCATGCAGCGCAACGGTTGCTGTCAAGGCCATGGAAGGCCGATCCTTTTCTGAAGGACATTATTCTGCAACTGGTTGAGAAGCAGCACAGCGTGGCTCGGTTGATTGTGAATAGCCAACAGATCAAAGAACTCTACAATGACTTCAGGTCAAAATCGAAAGAACCTGTGAAGATCAGCAAAGCTGTCAAAGACTTGGCATGGGCACCACAGCGATACTCTAGTGAGGCAAAGGTCTTGGCCAGACTTGTCCTCACGTGGGATTCTGTGCTTGGCGTTTTGACAGCAGTTCCCACCATTCGGGGACCAAGGTCTCCTGAGGGGCAGGCTTGCCTGGAAACTCTTCGTTTCTTGGACCCTGAGAAAGTGCTTCAGTTGGGGATGCTAGCAGACAGCGCGCTTGAATTGCACCGTGTCGTTAGATCCTTCGATGCAGATGACTTTGACGAAGCCGAGCTGCCTCAGGAGCTGGACCTCTACAGGTCCATCTTGGAAAGACTCTTCATCGATGGTTTGTGCCTTCAGGTTCCCGGAATGACTAAATTGATGATGGGCTACTTGGAGAAGCCGCGGAACCTGCTTGTCGCAGATGTGGCGAAAACTTTGGGGGGGACTGACCCACAAACCAACAAACAATGCCTGATCAGAATGTCGGCATATGTTGCAGTGGCTAAAAGTGTGATGGAAGGAGAGTTTCCAAGCTTTGAGCTTATGTCAAGCCTGCGCGCCTTCAGTGTCTCAGACGAAATCAAATCAACACAGAGACGGCAGAGCGGAGAGATCCAAAACTGTTTGGAGAAACTCGCTCAAGCCATCGGGGTGTGTGCAGCAACCCTGCAGTATGAATACGATCGGTTATACCCACTTGCTGCCAAATTTGGCAAACAAGGCCTTCGCACCTTTGAGGCTTGGAAAAAGGCAGTGGGCTCAGCTTCCAAGAGCATGGCATCCTACACCACCGAAGCACTAGTGCCGGTCCTGGCCAGACTTGGTGCTTGGTCTTGTTCCTCGTCTTCGGTGGAGAGAGGTTTTGGAATGGCGTTGGCAGCCAAACAACTTGGCCAAGGACAGGACGAGCACGTGGTGTCAGAGGAAAGCATCCTCATCATCCAACAGGACATTCTGCGAGGGAAGGCCGCAGATGAGTTGGACTTGAAGGACAACATCATGAGGGCCAAAGCCATCTGGGCATCGTGCTGCAGCAGGGTGCGCAAGAGTGGAGACGGCAAACGCAAAGCTCGCTGGGACAAAGGTCTTCCAAGGACAGCTGTTTGTTTCAAAATCGCCATTTTGTTCGGCGACTGTTGAATATCAATTCGTTTCTCTGTTTCCAGGAAAGCGCTGAAAGACGGGGAAGCAGGCTTTCTCCAGGGCCGCGAAATGGTCACGCAGCAACTTGCTGCGTCGTCCAGCTCCGATATTGCCGCTTTGAAGACAGAGAAGACTTCTGCAGCTGAGATTCTGCAATACTTTGGTGAAAAACAAATGAAGGAGATTGCATTTTCTGAAGCCAAGAAGAGCAAAGCTTTGGTAGAGCAACTACTCCTGAAGGTGTTGCCGCAAGACCAAATCACGCCAGAACTCACCGCTGCCGCAGAGGAGTACTGCAGGCGGGCCCAGCAAAACCAGAGAGAGAACACCAATAACCAGAAGCTTGCGCAGAAGCGCGTCAGTCAAAAGGAGGCGCGGTGGTGTCGTCAAGGGACGATGCGGATGTTCTTAATAGTACACAGTACACATGTCTTTGTTGAAGTTCTTAGCTTATCCTTGCACCAGGCGGCCTGGACTGAAGAGGCTTTGATCTATGGCCCAGACCGGGGCGTCCCAATGACAGCCGCGCGTATTTTCGTGGCCAACGACCCGAACAACTGTACTTCCCACATGAAATTTGTGGGCGGCCTGCTGGGTGGAATTGTGGCGACGCCGCAGTTTGTGGAGAGCAAGGGCAAAGATGGCATTTGCGTTGCATATAAGGCTGCCATCGTCACTGTGAGACGGGTCTTTGTGACACCATTATTCATGGGTAGCCACACTGCAATCTGCAGAGATCTGTTGGAGATTTTGAAAATAGCAGAATGTAAATGGCAGCTTATGCGCCAAGCTGAGCTGGACCAGTTTGTACAGAAATTGACTCAGGCCAAGGCGCGCCAGGTTATCATTTTCCACGGTCCGGCAGAAGCTGCCCTGTTTCCAGCAAGCACTCACCGGTTCAGCAGTGTAGAGGAAGCAGTTGTGGATCCTGTCATTTGTTCTGTGGATTTGTCTCGTTCTCGAACGGGCATTTGTCCTGCTTACTGAGCATGCACCAGACAGGGGGGTCGAGCAAAAGGAGCAGCCAGTGCCGTCGATGCAATCATGGGGGCAGGAATGACATTCAGCGTTCAAACCTATTTCAGCTTCTGCATGTTTCAAGCAGCTACCTAGTTTGTCTTCCCTAGTTAGCTTCATTGATGTTTGAAAATGTCACCTGCAGCCTTGAAAGGAACTCGACTCGTTCACCAGTTCTTAGACTGTCGTTTCAGCCATGTCCAAGCTGCTGCTGGCTTTGCTGCTGGTGGTGGCATGCGGAGTGGAAAATCAGAAAGCTCCTGAGGACAACAAGGAGAAACAGCCTGACGCTCCACCACAGCCAAAATTACCTCCTCAGACTGAGGCAAGACCATGGCGCCAAGCTCAGGCACAGCCAAAGGTGCGTCAGGTGCTACCTCCTTGCTTTGCTCAAATGGGGCAACCAATGGCGTGGCAAACGCCTGTCATCGGGCAACAGCCCGCCTTTTCTGGGCAACCATCCTTTCTTGGGCCAGGATCCTTCGTCGGGCAACAGCCCGCTTTTGGGCCACAGACTTTCGCTGGGCAACCGCCCCTTCTCGGGCAACCAGTGCCGTGCGTTCAACAGCCACAGCAAGTCCAAGCCGTTCAACCACAACAGCTGCTTCAAGCGCAGCCAGGCGTGGGTGCTTTTACAGCGGCTATGATGCCGCCCACCAGTGCCATTCCACAACCAGTCATGCCTTCACAGTCAGGGACTCCTGTTGGAGCAAGCCCGGCAAGTGACTATGATCATGACGATGAAACCTTCCGTACAGATCTCGTCCATTGCCGCGTCTGCAAGAAGAGGTCCTACGCAGAGAGTGGCGCGGGCTGCATCAACACTGACTGTGTAACTTGCCACTTTTTATTTGTTTTTGACAGCTTGTTTGTTAAACGTGCTTCCAATTTGACCCAATGGCAGCATGTCTTTGGCAGCTCGTTTCTTCGAGGCACTACAGCAAGAAGTGGTGAAAAGGAAGAAGACAAACCGCGGTACACAAAGGCAACTTTACTTTGCCCGAGTGCGCGGCTACCCCAGTGGCTCCAGCTCTTCTAGCTCTTCTTGGCAAGGTCGTCCATGGAAGAAAGATACTGACGGGGATCAGAATGACGGCTGGAATAATAAGAACTGGTGGGACTGGCAAGATTGGTGGTGAGAGGCGGCGCGCTGTGAGATGTGAGCTGTGACCGTTTTCTTGTCAAAGAAAAAAGCGATGCAGCGCTAGCTTCTTTTTCACCAAAATGGAACCGCAACCAGTTAGCATCGCGAAGGAGAGGAGTCTTGCTGACTGAATGGTAGAACATTCCATCCTGCGCATTGAAACACACAAATTATGTTAAGCCACGCGTGAAGGAGGCTTTAAGACTCCTACATGTCTTTGAAATTCACAAGTGAAGGTGGCTCTTTCATTTTTTACTCGCCTCCTACGCGATATGGAGATGAAGGAGGTTTCGCGACAGACTCTTACATAGCCAGCTTTGTGAAGGAGGCTTATGTCTCCTACGCTTGGAACGCACGAAGGAGGACTGGATACAGACTCCTACGTGTTTCTTAACGAAGGAGGACTGGATACAGACTCCTACGTGTTTCTTAAAAGTGAAATCACCATAGAAGCAAAATTGATTTATATATACATATTGCAAGGCTGCAGCCTTGCTAAGAACCCATCCTTGTTAAAGTTTTGCAGCGGTTTGAGCGCAATGTAGGACGCGACAGCGACACAAGCAACACCACATATGAATACGTATTTATCTGCCGTGTTCTTAGGCGGAAAAGACACTCTAACACCGCAGCCCTTGTTATATAAAGAAAACTGACCGCAATGTGAAGTAGGACCCGCCAGCAGCAAACATAAAATCCGAAGACGTATTTCAGCGCCGTGTTCGGTCACGACCGGTCAGATGCTAACATTGCAGAAGCCACCTCTTCATCAAGTTGTTTTGTTTGTTTAGAGGACAATAGCAAGGCTGCCGAGCACCACAAGCAAAAGCGTATTTGATTGAGATGTGGGGTCAGGGAATAGTAAGGCTGTCTGTTTTCG